AAAGGCTAAGAACCACTGTTCTAAGGAGACTCACATTTCAAGTACTAATATTGCCTTTCTGGTAGCAGTTGGACATTGGAGAGTAGGCTTGATGAAACACCTTGAGAATTTGTGGTGTAACAATTTATGTGATACACAATAGAAGATCTTATTAACTACCTAATTAACATAAAATCCATACTAGAGTCTTTACCAGCCTAACTACATCTCATTCAGAGATGAACAGATATACACTACACTAGGGATATGACGGTATCAAATTCTCATGTTGCGATTAATTGCCAATGCTTTTATCACGGTATACGGTATTATCACGATATTTAAATTTAGTTTAAAAAAAAAGTGCTGTCATAATACAGTATAACAGGTTTAATAACTTTTTTCTTATAACAAAAATAACTGAACGCTGTGATGAACATCATAGCAAATACACAAATCTGAATGGCTGTTTAAATCATTTAAACACGATTAAGAAACAGGAAGTATTGCAGCTGCTTTGTTTACAGGGTTTAAGTGCCCACGATAACAATATCGTGCATATTCATTACCGTGATATATCGCATTACCGAATACCGGCACAAGTCTACACTACACATCTTTTCTTAATATCCCTTTCTTTGTACCATCTAAAAGGATCAAGCAATTTGATCACCTGGTGACTCCTTGAGAACCTACTGATTGAGACAGAACTTTTAAAACATCTTTGTCTTTTCAAAAATGCCTTTCTCGATTGATTCCAGCAACACTTTCAAAACAGATGATAAATAACTGAAGGAATTTAAAAGATGAGTGTGAGGTTTTCCAAACTCACATCTATAGTGTCTGCATACATGGTTGTACACAATTCCCGGAGAAACACCATAAAAAACAACCATAATTACAGCAACCGCCACTGTTATTATAAACTAACAGATGCAATGGCATCAAATCTTCCTTTCCAAGAGTCTATTTTCTATCTGGAACAAGGGCACATTATTTTCTTTCAGCTTAAGGAAAGTATAAAGGCAGACAATAGAGACAGAACACGTTGAAGCACAGAGTACTTAATCCGACACATTCGCACACAGGAGGCCAGAAAAAGATCCAATACAACATGATTTGTGTCACAGAACACAAAGCAGACACTTAGAGACAGAGGCGAGTTAAAGGGGTCATATGACGCTTTTTTTAAAGATCATTATTTTGAGACTTTAGTCTTTGCAACTTCAGGGATCTTATCTATGCACAATCAGCTTGTAACACTCCAAAGAGAAAGGAAAACTTTAAATCGCATCATATGACCCCTTTAACTTACAGACAAATACAAGTGTAGTTAGTTACTTAGAGTGAAGTAAAAGTCGAGAGCGCACTGTTATAGCGCGAAAGTACATTAACATGATGAGCGAGCGCGAATCTCTCCACTCGCACGCGGATTTCCTTTGCTCTCTCACAAAAACGCTTGGATGATTTGTTCAAATAAATAAGGAGTTTGTCTAACTGGGGTGGGTTTCCCGTAGAACGACGTAACTCACTAATTAACCACCATAGTACGATGCATTGTTGTGGAAACTAACTAGCCTGTCACGACTGTTTCCCGAACACGGTCGCAAATTCGTCGTTTGAACCACATTAGTTCAACAATTTAGGTCCGTTTTTAATGACGTCACACGCATGTGGTGGAGTAATAACTTCTGCTTATTAATTGATTCAAGATTTCTGAGATGCTGCTGCATTGAACATGGCACCTGATGACTAATTTAATATGTTTTGTTCCCTGTCATTTTGCTTTATTTGATGTTTGATTCATCGAAGGGTTTCCTTTTACATCATACTCCAGGGTTCTCTTGGGCATTTATGCACATGCACTCTTCAAAAACAGCGCTTATTGAGGACGTGCTAAAATTTATCGATTAAAATTTATATATTTCAATAGAATGGAAGATATTAGGGATGGGAAGATTTGCCGATTTGCTCGGTGCATCTGCATAAAAAGTTAACGATGTGATGCATCGGTTTAAAAAGTGTAAATCGAATACAAGTTTGTATCGCGATACATCGTTTCTAACATATTTGCATCGGCAAAAAACAATTTATTTATATATAATTACTAGTGGATGGCTACATTTTTATTGTTTAGAAAGTGACCAATAATCTGTGACCAATATTTTATATGTAGATTGATTTCTCCACGAGAAACTGTTTCTCAAGCGCATTCTCTCGCGTGAATATGACGCATCACAACACCACTACAGAGACCTGAGGAAAAGCAGGGATTAAAGTCCAAAATCTGACTTGAAATAACCTAACAAATCAATCGGGGTTAAAGCAGTTCCCTAAACGACAATCTAAATTCACACAATCTAACTAATTTGTGGACGCTTAATCTTAAACAGCCCTTAATGTCGATCATGGATCAAATCGATCCACCATGGCAAACAGCGAATATATTTGTGCTGTTTAATGCATTTGAGACGTTGTCTTTTCCTCAGTGCATAACTGACATGCCACAAGTATATTTGTCCTCTGTAAATGTTTGAAAGTCATGCAAATATATCCATTTTACTTGCTGTCAGGAGTGGGCGAGGCATACGCGAGTGAACGAGTCTGTTTTATTACGTCTTAAATTGATTTTTCCATACATTTCTGCCATATGTACATTAACTGACAGTCACCACTGATAAGCTACCACTAAATATTGTAGAAACTTAATTTGCTGTAAAGTTGCTTTGCAATGATTTGTATCGTGAAAAGCGCTGTACAAATAAACTTGACTTGACTTGACTTGCTGCGCACATGCAAGCTAAACTGACGGACGGAGCACAATAATTCTGAGTCAAATATGCATTTTGCTAAAATATTCGTTGTTGGACATTAAATGTGCCTTTTGTAGAATTTTAAACCTACATATAGGTGTATTCTTATGACAGCAGTAACTGTAAAGGGACTAATGGGTAAATAAAATGTAAGCTAATACAGTCCTAATTACTAAGCTTACTACTTAATTACTACTTAATGTGTGTTTCTTATAGCAGTTAAAATGTAGTTTTAATTTATTGATTTTAACTTTTAGTTTAGTGATTTTAATGCTTGCAATGTTAGATTGTAAAGTTCTAATGTTATCTGTTCTAACTATAAAAGGTACAGCTGTCATAAAACCAGAGAAAAAGGCTGCATGGCTATGATAGTATGTGAGAGAGTCAGTGGTAATATCATTGCATTCCTATTGTTCAGTGTTAGAGGAGCTCAGCTTAGTCTGACAGTTTGCCTGCCCTGGACCAGGTTAGCTTTCCAGCATAAGTTGCCACAGTGACTGATTTTGATCTTTGTTAAATTTGTTTTATGGAACCAAATCATTTGACAGTGAGTCAGACTAACTGAAATAAGCCTGGCCTATTTGGTAAACTTGTTTTATGAAACAGGCCTCGAGGCATTAGAAGTCAGAAGACACATAAGTTAATTTATGATTTGCTGTCTGCCTGAACCAAAGAAATAAATGCGATCATATTTTTTTCCATTGCATCGAATCGCATTGTGTTGAATCGGATCGAATCGAAATCGGATCGCACTGCATCGTAATAGGGGTGAATCGTATTGCATTGCATCGCTAGCTACTTCATATGTATCGTCAATGTATCGTATCGTTGGCTATGTATCGAGATGCGCATCGCATCGGCCTCAGTTATGGAGATGCACATCCCTAGAAGATATAGATTGTACTGCATGTTAGCTTGCTTATGACCAAAAGTATAATTTAACACTAAAATCAGAACTGAAAACAAACTCTCGATGAAACAACAACAACAAAAAAAAACTCCCAATAAATTATGTTCAAACAATGATTCTATCACAGCATTTATTGTGTTAAATCGTGTGCATCATTTACATTTTGCATTTGATGTTGATTTGATAGGAAACATTATAATTTTTACTTATTAATGGCATCATTGTACAGATTGAGAATTCATTGCACTGATTTTAAATTCAGTTGAGGTATCTGACATAATGTGACATAACATTGATATTTTATATGCTGTGTGTCTTAAGAGCCATATAGGCTATAATAGTGTATGTTGTTTTTAGATAAATCGCTCAGAGGGGTTTGACCAACCAGTTAGACAAGACAGACTACTAGATTATATATTTGTACAAATAAGCACCCCAATCCTAGCCATTTCTAATATAATTTGGATTAATATGACTAAATATTATAAAATTGTAACAAAATTAAAGATCCATCTTTGATTGTCAAAATAATTCCAGGTGCAGTTCCCTCCAAGAGGAGAGATTCGCGATGGCAACGGACACGTTTTAAGTGCGCGCACACTCTCTGGGCAGCATATCTGAGAGCGTGCGTCCTGGTTTGTGCAAGAGCAAAGGAAATGCGTGTGCAAGCGGAGAGATTCGCACTCGCGCATCATATTAATGTACTTTCGGGCTACAACAGTGCGCTCTCAACACTTGTCAGTAAATTAACGCCATACTACATATGTTTTCTTCATTGTAAGACGTCAGAGAGTGATGCAACCGGAAACTGTAACGCGTTTCTCGTGAGCACGTGGAAGTTTCTCGTGAGCACACAAAACGTTTCTCGTGAGCATGCGATAGTCTGTGTAATTTTTATTTTTGCTAAGGTCCCTTTAGGGGCTCTGTATTTCTAACACCCATACTGCAAAAGGAATTATGCAAAACACACTGCAAATATGACCAAAAATCTATGAGGAGCACAATTTGCACTGCACAAATTGGGATTAGCCTATGCATCCCATGAATTAGATTTATAGCAACCAGCTGAAAGTTTGACAACCTTACAGTCTAAAAGGTAGACACACAATGATATAAAAATTCTGGCCAATACTGACAAGATGACAATTATTAGTGATGCAGTAGAATTTTTAACAACCAAAAATGTTGAAGAAAAATAAATCTTCCGTTTCAGCCAAAATCATTGACAGAATTTGACACATTTTGACTGTTACTGTCTATTTTGTGCACACAATGTGAATAAGCTACAACACGTAACCATGTCAGAAGTGTGGACTCGTTTCACTGTGACCAAAAATGATGCTAGGGTAGTAATACGGAAAATTTGTTCAAATGAAATAACTGTTTAAAACCATACGGGTACGGATACGAAGCGCCTATGTTTTTTTTGTGTTTATAGTAATATTTGAAAAGTATATAATGTTATTTATAAAGAATTACACTCATATTTTGTAGTTCAAAGGGTTTTCTTTACAATGAAACCATTTGTTTTCATTTCCTCCATTGTATGTGTGCAGGGTAAACATTTTAATTTGAGTATGTTAAATTTAGGCGAAAATACCAAAAAACGCGCCGAGCTTAATTAATTTATCACCTGAGAACACAACACCCTGAAGATTTCAATTATTCAAATTTATTTACAGAAACTTGGTTTTGGTTTTTGGCTAAATTAAAATGTTTATTTTAGTTTAGGCGTTTAGATTAAAAAATATAAAACAAAATTCTCATTATAATATTACCGCCCCTTAATCTGTAAATTTCCACCCAAGGCTCTGTCATTTTGATTTCGCAAGCGACAAAGGTGTACCAGCTCTAATGCCATGGCGAAGGTTTGAGCAAAACATACTAACTGTTCTGCCTTTGTCTGCACAGACGAGCACAGAACACTATTTAGATCTAAAATAAACATGCAATTTATTTCCCAGCAGTTTACCTTTACAGACATACGGACACATTCTGGGGACACCAGAGACTTATATTACATATTGTAAAAAGGGGCATAATATGTTTCCTTTAAGATAGAAATGTTTAGATCAAGGGTCAGATGCACTATTCCCTAAATAATTAAAACGTGGAGACCAAATATACCACCATAACGAATTTCTCATATTTGTCATAACATAATTATATTCTATGGGTTTAATGAATTTGCAGACAATGTAGCTTTCTGTAACTGTCATATAACTGTATATTCACTGTCTTAGAGGAGAATGCCATTGAATGTGTAGCTAATATGAAGTGGGTTTTCATGAAAAAAAAAATCTAACTACAATCAGAACTGAAAACAAACTCTTGATGAAACAACAACAAAAAAACTCCCAATAAGTGATCCCTTCGTCTACAGCCGACGTTCAGCGCACCAGCGCTCCGCAGGACACCTCAACTGAGCCCGCGGCTGCACCTCGGGGACGCCGGCCTTCCTGCATCGCCGCCACTCATACCTCCAGACGCCGAGATTCTCCTTCACCCTCACCTTCCAGGCGTCAGCCACCTTCTCCAGCGTCCTCCTATGCCTCAGCTCTCTCCTCCGCTCCAGCTACGGAGAAATGGGCCGTGTCAAAGTTACGCCAAGTGCTCTCAACATCCTCGTTCCTCACCATCTGAACAAGGCGGAGCTCCAGCTATGGAGAAATGGACCGTGCCAAAGTTACGCCAAGCGCTCTCAAACGCCGGCATTCTCGATCCTCACCGTCTGAACAAGGCGGAGCTACAGGCCCTCTACGCTTCGCTCCAGGCGGGGGCGCCACTTCCAATCCCCACTCCTCCGTCCAAAGCTAAGGACAAAACAAACCAGGGCCGCAGTGCTCCTTATTCACGGCCTGATCCAACTACCACGCCATCAAGGATGAGCCTCCGACCATCAGGCCGCAGCAGAAGGCCTTCTCCAGGCGGGGGCGCCACTTCCAATCTCCACTCCTCCGTCTAAGGACAAAACAAACCGGGGCCGCAGTGCTCCTAATTCACGGCCCGATCCAACTACCACGCCACCAAGGACGAGCCTCCGACCATCTGGCCGTAGCAGAAGGCCTTCGGCAAGCCTGGGCCGCGCACCTGATCCAGCAGCAAACGCCCCCCGATCCTCGGAGCGTCAGCCAGCAGATCCTCCAGGCGACGCATCGGCGCGCGCCTCCACAAGCCGCCAAGATAGCATGAGCATGCCTCCGCTAGCGGCGCAGTCCCATCCCCAGTCCCTGTTTTACCCCACCCTTAACCCTCTCCCCTACCCATGGCCCCCAGCCCCACCATCCAGCTCTAGCGCGAGGCTTCCTCAGCTAGCAGCAAAAGCTCTGACGCCCACCATTCCATCTCTCCTTCCCTATGTTTTGCCCGCTCCCGGAGCCGACCAAGGCGTGAGGTCGCCCCCCGCTAATGCCGCAGGTTCCGGCTCCCGTTATTCCCTCTCTCTTTCCTGCTCTTTCTTCTGATCTCGCCTCCCGAACCGTTCCAAGTGCGAGCTTGCCTCCGCAGGCGGTTCCGGCGGCTACTTTCCCCCCCCCCATCCCCCATGCCCGCTCATCCTACTTTCTGTCCACAGCCACGCCCCTACCTATGCCACCAAACGCCCTCGCCCTGGACTCTCCCCCTGTATCCAGCAACATTCAGAACCAAATTCTCTCAGGTGCAGACGTAGATCTTTTTTCCCTTCTGTCTCCTATTTCGCCTTCGTCCACCGACCGCCAAATTGACTACGGCGAATTTTCAGTCACCTTAAAAAACACAGCAAATATTCAATCTCATATTCTATCATTTTCCGAATTCGCCATCACTTTCAATCATTACACTGAAGTAATCTGTTCCGTTTTTCCTCACAGGAGACGCGAGCTCGGCGACTATCTCACTATTGTCACCGAGCTCACGCTATCATACGGGGGCTCCCATTTCTACACGTACCACAAGTTATTTTCAGCAAAATGTGCTATCAGTGTCCTTACTGGGGGGCTTTGGACACTGAACTTCACAATAGGGTATTTTTAGGCTGCCGTAACATCACATGCGCGGTATGCCGATCCATCGCTCACTCCACCACAACGTGCCCCTTTGTCAACCCATCCATTCCTCCCAGCCCCGAACCATCTCAGCCCAAATCCACCAGCTACGTGCCGCACTTCCCAACCAACCCCTCCCTCCCCACTTCCACCAACCGCCGCCCCCCATCCTTCTCCAGCAGACAGCTCTGCACCAGCTTCAATGCCGGCAGATGCTCAAGACAACACTGCCGATTCATGCATATTTGCAATTTTTGTGGCGGCGCTCATGCCCGCTTGATTTGCCTTGTCAAGAAAGCTGCAAATAAAAATGCTAAGCAATACTTATCGACTCTTGTAAATGTCTCCCGTTTATCTTCTGAATTGATTCATCACGCTGACTCTGATTTCTCTAACTATCTATTGTCGGGCCTCTCACATGGTTTTCATCCCGCTGTCGAAATTCTCCCCTCCCAAAGCCTCATCTGCCCCAATCTTCAGTCCGCTCTCGCCGAACCCGAAACGGATGATCTTCTAATTAAGAAAGAAACCGACAAAAATTTTATGATCGGCCCTTTTTCCATCCCCCCCTTTAACATTTTCCATGTTAGTCCCATAGGCATAGCTACCAGAAAATTTTCTGGTAAAAAACGCCTTATAATCGATCTCTCTTCCCCGCATAATTCCCCGCTCCCAAGCATTAACTGCCTCATCCCGCTTGAAGAATTTTCTCTTCATTACCATGACATCGACTAAGCCATTACCATGATCAAAGACGCAGGTCGCGGCGCTTGGATGGCCAAAGTTGACATCAACTCTGCCCTTAAGGTGATGCCCATCCATCCAGATTTTTGGCACTTATTCGGCATCTGCTGGCGCAAAAAACTTTACTTTTCCATCCGCCTCACATTCGGCTGCAGAAGCAGCCCAAAAAGCTGGATCCTCTCCAACAATTATGCCGTACCCTACTTAATCCATCTCTTAGACGACTTTTTAATTATATCCCAGAAGCGCACCTTTCGACAACGCAAAAGGTTTTCGCAGAGCTCGGGATTCCCCTCGCTCAAGACAAAACTTCAGGCCCAAGCACTTCCATCGAATTTTTGGGAATCAACCTAGATTCACAAAGGTTCCAAGCTTCTCTACCCAAGGAAAAAATCGACAGAACGATTCTGGTGGCTTCTACTCTCTTAGCCAACCCAAACTGCTCCAAACGTGAGCTGCTATCCGTGCTCAGTCATCTAAATTTCGTGATGTGGATCATTCCGCAAGGCCGCCCCTTCATCTCTCACCTCCTCTCTCTTGCGTCCTCCGTTCACGAGCTAGATGATCAAATATCTATAACCAATTCATGCCGAGACGAGCTCAGTCTGTGGATTTCCTTCCTTAAACAATGGAACGGCTTATCTTTCTTTTACAGCGATTTGGTCTCTTCTCCCGTTGACATCCAATTATTTACCGACGCCGCCCCCTCCGTCGGTTTCGGTGGATTTTACCAAAACCGCTGGTTCGCTTCTACGTGGCCCTCCCAGCTGTTAGATTTACCTCAGCCGCTAATATCCTCAGCACTTTTCGAGCTATATCCTATAGTCGTGGCAGCCTTTTTGTGGGGAAAAGAGTGGTCCACCACCAGCATCGTTATTCACTGCGACAACGAGGCACCGTGCACTGCATTAATAAAGGCCGTTCTCATTCACCTGCCTTAATGCCTTTGCTAAGACGTCTAATTTGGATCTCGGCTTGCGACCAGTTCATCATAACCGCAAAACACATTCCCGGGTCCAAAAACCAAATAGCTGACTCTCTCTCTCGTTTTGCCTTTCAGAAATTCAGGCTGTTGGCACCAGAAGCGGAACCACTCCCAACCCCAGTACCTCCTTATTCAGAGCTGATATTCCATTGAATCATCCTCTGAGACCTCTTCTCGAGGCTTCCCTTGATTCTATTTTTCAAGCCGTTTCCCCCAGAACCCTGCAATCCTATTTAACAGCATGGAAATGCTTTAAAGCATTCCATTCTGCCTATAACCTGCCGTTCCCCGATTTTTCCCTACTCTCTATCACTTCATTTATATCACACCTCAACATTAACAAAAACCTCCAAGTCAGCTCCATTAAAAGCTATCTAAGCGGAATTCAGTTTTTCCATAAACTCATATACGGTTCACCCTCACCTCAAATAGCCAATTCACAGACCTCCCTTCTCATCAAAGGCATTCAAAGAGCCCATCCCACTTGCCCAGACACCAGGCAACCCATAACATTAAAAATCTTGACTAAATGCATTTCCACACTCCGCAGAGGTTACCATTCCATCCACACCACTCGTACGCTCGATGCTATGTTTATCCTAGCCTTCTTCGGCTTTCTCAGATGCTCCGAGCTCACTACCACTTCCACCTTTAACCCGAATATCCACCCCACTATTTCCGATCTAGCAGTCCTGGACGACGAAGCCATGTCATTCTTTATAAAGCAAAGTAAGACAGACCAGACAAAGAAAGGCCACTTTATTTATATTTTCAACCTTCAATCACCTATACTCCCATACCAAGCCCTCCTAGCCTTCCTTCAGCTCAGGAAATCACAATCCAAATCACTTTCCGACCCTCTTTTTACATATGACTCTAACCGCCCCGTCTCCCGTTTTTGGTTCCAAAAACACCTCAAGTCTGTTCTACTCCTTTCCGGTATCCCAGCCGATGATTTTTCCAACCATTCTTTTAGAATTGGCGCAGCCACCACAGCGGCTCAAAAAGGCCTTTCCCAATAGCAGATCCAGTCACTCGGTCGCTGGTCATCAGAAGCCTTTAAAA